AGGTCAAAGAAGAAGGGGATGGCGAAGGATGAGATGGCCAGGCAGTGTTATCGAGGCAACAAACATGAAATTAAGCAAACTCCGGAGCACAACAGAAGACAGGAGCGCCAGGCGTGATGTGGTCCATGGGGTCGCAAAGAGTCAGACTCGACTGTGCGACTGAACAACAACTATCCACTATACCACACTAGCTTTCCAGTGTGTGCTACTGACTTTTCCTGCTGTGCCAAAGCTGCTATTTTCCTCTTCCAGGGAAACCACTGAGATAGGTGCATATTTTTCCTCTGCAGAGCAAGTTATAGTTCTGGCCCGGGAGGGGGGTGTTGGTTTGCTTTCAGAAAACAGTTTCCCCACCTCAACACTGCAAAGGGGCTTTGAAATGAGCAGCCAGTGTGATACAGCAACAAAAAGGGCTGATGCAGTCTTAAGAGTGTACCAACAGAGGCATAACATCCAAATCGCAAGATGTCACAGTAGTCCCGCTGTACACTGCGTTGGTCAAGCCGCACCTGGAATATTATGTGCAGTTCTGGAGGCCTCACTTCCAAAAGGCTGAGGACAGAATGGAGCGGGTCCAGAGGAGAGCAACGAGGATGATCAGGGGCCTGGAGACCAAGCCCTGTGAGGAAAGGCTGAAGGACTTGAGAATGTTCAGTCGAGGGAAGAGGAGGTGGAGGGGGGACATGTATTTGAAGGATTGTCACCTAGTGGAGGGCATGGAGCCGTTCCTGTGGGCAGCAGAGGAGAGGACTCACAAGAATGGGTTTAAATTAAGGGCGGGAAGGTTCCGGCTGGATCTTAGGAAAAACTTTTTGACAGTCAGAATTGTGCACCAGTGGAATGAGCTGCCTAGGGAGGTGGTGAGCTCCCCCTCACTGGCAGTATTTAAGCAGCGCCTGGACAAACACCTGTCAGGGATGCTTTGGGCTGATCCTGCACTGTGCAGGGGGTTGGACTAGATGGCCTGTATGGCCCCTTCCAGCTCTAAGATTCTATGAAATGCTGTAATTTTAGTCCAAGCTGCCATTTTCGCATGATGTACTCTGCATATATATTAAATAAGCAAGGTGACAATACACATCCTTGTCGTACTCCTTTTTCTATGCTAAACCAATCAGTTGTTCCATATCCGGTTCTAACTGTTGCTTCTTGACCCTTATACAGGTTTCTCAAGAGACATGTGAGGTGGTCTGGTACTCCCGTCTCTTTAAGGACCTGTAAGGAAGGCCGAGCGCCGAAGAATAGATTCTTTTGAACTATGGTGTTGGAGAAGACTCTTGAGAGCCCCTTGGACTGCAAGAAGATCAAATCAGTCAATCCTAAAAGAAATCAACCCTGACTGTTCCCTGGAAGGCCAGATAATGAAACTGAAGCTCAAATACTTTGGCTACCAAATGAGAAGGGAGCACTCCCTGGAGAAGACCCTGATGCTGCCTGGGAAAGACTGAAGGTCAAAGAAGACGGGGACGGCAAAGGATGAGATGGTTAGACAGTGTCATAGATGCAACAAACATGAAATTGAGCCAACTTCAGAGGATGGCGGAAGACAGGAGGGCCTGGCGAGATCTTGTCCATGGGGTCGCGAAGAGTCGGACTCGACTGTGCGACTGAACAACAACAAAAATCTTCCAAGGCTCTGGAAACCGCTTAAGAAACAAAATCTGCCCTTCCCTGCAGTGCACGGATCACGGGCCGGTGGACAGGGAGACCCTTATGACTGAGAGCGACCAGCCAACTCATTAACTGCTGGGTTCCCATTTCCTACGAGCTACACTTATGGGCCTCGGGGAGAAATCTAGAAAGTGGGACTGAATCCTCAAGAGCAACATACAGCAACTCTCCTGGGCCGGCTGTCGGGAGAAACGGCAAGCAGGGAGACGGGGCTCCTTCAATAATAAGTTATCCTCCATTTGCCCACCAGAGTTCCCGAGGGTCCCTTCGGATTTGTAGATCACCCCCTGGAGGGCCATACGGGCTCCGCGTAAGAACCACTCGCTCTATTCTCGAGTCCCCTTAGAAACCAACAACATTTATTTCAATACGAGGCTTTCGTGAGTCACAGCTCAGCTTCAGCGATTCACAAAGGCTCAGACAGACATAAACGTTTATATTCGTTTTTAAAGTGCCTCCGGACTCTCGGGTCTTCTTCTTGTCGTCGTGACAGACGAACACGGCCACCCCATTCCAATGGACTCTTGAGGACGTAACTATAGAGCACGCCATTTTTGGGTCTGTCCCAGGTCTTGTCAAGCACACGTCGGCTCAAGAGCTCATTTACGAATCGAACACATTTCGAGGTGGTTTACAATAATAGTGAAAAAGATCTTCGGTTAAAACCAAACATAAAAAGGTAAAGGTTTCCCTTGCGCGAAAGCCAGTCAAATCCGCCTCTAGCATTGCAGTGCTCATCTCTGTTTCCAAGCCGAAGAGCCAGCGCCGTCTGAAGACTTCTGACTAGACACCAAGGCGCACGGAACGCTGTTACCTTCCCACCGAAGCAGTACCGATTTATCTACTTGCAATTTCTTGCTTTCGAACTGCTAGGTTGGCAGGAGCTGGGACCAGAGACGGGAGCTCACTCCATCATGTGGCACTCGGGTCTCGAACTGCTGAACTACCGACCTTCCAGCCTGCAGCTCAGCATCTTAACCACTGAGCCACGGCAGTTCCAGAAATAAAATAGCAAACCCCAAACCTCTCCCCACTTCCCCGTTAAGAGTGGCTTGCTATCTGAAGTGCCCCTCAAAGACGCTGGCAAGCAGGCAGGCCTTGCAGCACCTCCTGAAGATATTCAAGGAAGGGGTCCACCTCACCTCTTTGGGGAGCCCATTCCATTGGGCCGGAGCCACGACGGAAAAGGCACTGGGGTCTGGGTCACCCTAAGTGGTGGGACAGCTAGGAGATGGCGGCCTGATGAACGTGTCTCTTGTTTCTCGGGCACATGATGGCCAGTTTGGATCAGGCCCACAGAATGGAGAAGGGCCTTTTTCCTGACTGGAAACATCCTGGGGATACAGCGGTTTGTCCTAATGGGGACACTTATGAGTGCTAATGGCCTACATGGAAGTAACATTTTTTTTCAAGTATCAGACTAATAAAAGCATATCAAATAATAATACACACGATGGGTCAACACTTTCCAACTGAAGAATCCTTACCTTGATGGAGTGACACACATTCAGACTTATGAAATCTCATTTACCAGAATAACTGGAATGGATGTGGCTATACCTGTGGCCCATCATTAATACCAGTAACACAATTACAAACATATAAGGATACAACATCTGATCTTTATATAAGTGGACTAAAGATCTTGTATACATATGTTTGAATGTGTGTCTACACTATGTTGTAATACTGACCACTGAGGAAGGCCCTGTGAGGCCGAAATGCGTCTGGTCTTCAGTTGGAAAGTGTTGACCCATCATGTGCATTAATATTTGATATGCTTTTATTAGTCTGATACTTGAAAAAAAATTTAACCCGAATATATTTTAATATGTGTACCCTGATAAATCTTGTACTTTTATAATTTTCATGGTCAGCTTAACCCTTCTGGTTTGCAGTGCTATCTTGGGTTGAGTTTTCCCCTCCCCCCCCTTTCCCCAGTTTTTCTACAGGGAAGTAACCCAACACCTACCCAACAGGTGGGACGCAACACCTCCTGGCAATGCCAGGCCTTAAAGAGGCCAGGTTGGCTGCTACCAGGGCCAGGGCTTTCTCGGTGGTGGCTCCTACCTGGTGGAACGAGCTCCCGGAGGAGATCCGGGCCCTGCGGGACCTTGTGCAATTCCGCAGGGCCTGTAAGACGGAGCTCTTCCACCAGGCGTATGAGTAGCCGCCGCCACTACCATCATTATGATTCCATCTTCACCTGGCCCTGGATGAGGGAACATCAGCGTTTCCCTGGAGCAGATGATTCTGAACAGCTGAATTACGCCATCTATGAAATATCTCGTTGAACATCAAGAGCACTTGTAAATAATGTTTTTGTACTGTTGGGATTTTAAATGGTTTTAAATATGTTTTATATTGGCGTTTGCCTCCATGTAAGCCGCCCTGAGCCCGCATTGCGGGGAGGGCGGGGTATAAATTGAATAAAATAAATAAATAAAGATAGGGCAAAAAACATCCCAGGGTCATTCCATGTGAGGAAGACAGTGTGTGTATGGGGGGGTGGGGGTTAAGCCCCCCCTCCTGGTGCACTGTGGTCCCAATCCAACTCACACACCCCTGCACCTGACAATCCAAAGTTCAACAAGAAACTGTCAGGGCACGCCCAGGGAGGATCCAAAAACGGAGTTTATCTCAGCCTTCTCCCCAGGACCCTTCCCCAGCATGCTGTGCCAGATCCCTGAAACTGGACATTATTGTATTCATTTTACTTATATCCTGCCTTTCTCCCCAATGGAGAACCAAAGCGGCTTACATCATTCTCCTCACAGCAACCCTGCGAGGTAGGCTGGGCTGAGAGTGTGTGACCGGATCAAGGTCACCAAGCAAGCTTCCATGGCAGGGTGGGGATTCAAACCTGGGTTTCCCAGATCCTAGTCTGACACTGTGGGTGCGTTCAGACACGGCGTTTCAGCCGGCATAAACTGTGGTTTCACTATTACACCCAAATGACATGAAGATGCCACAAACAAAGATTACTCCAGATACATGCGGGGGTTTCAAAGCACCTGAGGGAGACTGGGTCTTACCGCAGAAAAGGAAAATTAATCCTATTCATAGCAGAAACCAAGGACTAGATTTCCTATGCAGCATAATGCTGCCTCACATGGAAACAGAGGAAAAAGGGAAATTTTCATGTTTTCTGGCAGGTCTGTCACCTCGGCAGCTTTTGTGTGGGTTTACCTTCTGTCAGTCATTTTCCGTCTGGCACAGAAGGCTTTTTTAACCAAACACAATTACCTCCTACGGCAAGGGCCAGCGGAAAACCCAACCCCGATGGCAGCCATTTCGCCAGGAAAATAAAACAAAACAGAGGCACGTACCACGAGGCACAAATGAAATCTCGTTTTTGTAAAAGCTCAGATTCCACATTTCGTCCTCTTTGGTTTCAGTGTCTGTTTCTTCCAAATCCTGAGGGAGACAGAGAGAAGCAGCAGTGAACAATGACCTTTCCAAGCCAGATCCACACCATTCTTTTCATGGAACACTAAAGTTAGAAGCAATGGAATATCCATCTAACAACATCAGAAGAGCCCTGCTGGATCAGACCTGTGGTCCACCTAGTCCCGCTTCCTGTCTCACACAGTGGCCAACCAGTTCCTCTGGACTAGAGATGTAAAATTTCCGGAAATTTTCAGAAAAATTGAAAAAAATGCTTTCCAGATTGAAAGTCATTATGTTACTTTAGGAACATAAAATATGACTATGGACATTTTTACTTGCCATGAAAAGATCACAACTAGCATATTAAAAATATAGTGTATCCAAACAATTATTACAAACAGAATACCCACCCACATGCAAAAACAAAACTGAAACCTTTTTCTTTTCTTGTGACAGTAGCACCTCCTAAAGGAAGAAATGCATCTTGTTCTTGAATTGGAGAGTTCAGTTTGTAACCTAGGACTTGCTAGTCCTCAGTGCACAGAAATTAGAACAATCTGCTACCATATGTATTTTTTATAAATGATTTGGAAAGTATTTGAACAACTTGTCTTAAAATATTTTATTCATCATGTTAAAATAAAATGTTTCATAATCAATTTTTTTTTCTTTTCTTTTTTCAGTTTTTCCAATTTTTTGGAAAAAAAACAAAAAGGCTCCAGGAAAAAAACGGGGAAAAAAACTTTTCCCCTGAATTTTTCTAGGCCTTTACATCTCTACTCTGGACAGCCAACAACAGGGCATAGAGACTGAGGCCTTCATAAGAAATTCAGAAGAGCTCTGCTGGATCAAACCAGTGGCCCATCTAGTCCAGCATCCTGTCTCACACAGTGGCCGACCAGTTCCTCTGGACAGCCAACAGGACATAGAGGCCAAGGCCTTCCCTTACGTTGCCTCCTGGTTCTGAAATTATTAGGATTACATGTATTTAATTTATACCCTGCCCTGTCCTATGAGTGGGCAGAGTACAACATATGATTCATAAAACGATAAAAGCGATAAAACCAGTAAAACAACAGACGGCAGAATAACAGAAAACACCCATGCCTCATGTCAGGTGAATAAAAAACTCTGATTAATGCCTCTGAATCCGGCGGTTCCCCTCAGTCACCGTAGCAAGTAGCCATTGATAGACCTAGTAGCCACTGACATACTTATCTAGCTCATTAGTCTTCAAATGGATGTCCCAGGACATATGAGGTGGAGTCCCACGTGGATTGATATTGGCGTGGTGCTATTTCACTTGTTCATAAACCTATCTGAAATTGGTATAGTAGCCCAATTCACACATGATACCAAAGTACTCAGTAGGGTGAAAGCCAAGGTGGATCTCTCTAAACTGGGCAAGGATGTGAGCAATGAAGTTCAAGACAAGTAAGTGTAAGGTGATGCATACTGGAATAATCCTAATCTTAAATATATGATGATAGAGTCTGAACTGGCTGAGATGGAAAGATCCTCTGGAGTTCTACCGGGAAGCTCAATGAAAATGCTGACTCAGCATGCAACAGCTAAACGGGCAAGTCCCATACTGGGGATTATTAGAAAGGGGAGTGGGAAAAGTGACCAATATTGTAATGTGCGCGTGTGAAGTGCTGTCAACTCACTTCCAATTCATGATGGCCCTATAAATGAATGTCCTTCAAAACATCCCATCGTTAAAAGCCTTGCTCGGGTCTTACAAACTGTGGGCCTGTTGGAATGCATAAGTATTCAGCATGTGTGAAGCATGTGTAACTGTGTAAATAGATCATGCCAATCTATTGTGACAGGTGTCAAATGACTGTCAGTCCAGGAGACCAGAGCAAACCGGTTCTGGCTGGTGCAATGCTGATCTCTTATCTGAGTGACTCAGCAGTAATATGATTGGTTAGTCAATGTATATAACTGTGTGTGTTCTGTACATTGTGTGCTGATTTGGATGTTGACCGTCTGGGGAAGCATTCTGTCGGTGAGAGCTGTGTTCTGTAAATAAACTTCACTGTATATGTTGTTGTTCAGTCACACAGTCGAGTCCGACTCTTCGCGACCCCATGGACCAGCTCCCGCCAGGCCCTCCTGTCTTCCGCCGTCCTCTGAAGTTGGCTCAATTTCATGTTCGTTGCATCGATGTTTAGTTAACCATTAAAACTGAGTCTGTGTGCTGACCACAGTGGGACTTCAGCAGGGTGCAATTGGATTATTGAATTCAACGGTGACCTGGGGACGCCAGGTAGCGCACTCCGCGACAGGGCCATGGCTTCCTTGAATGAGTCCAATCCACCTCATCTTGGGTCTTCCTCTTTTCCTGCTGCCTTCAACTTTTCCTAGCATTATTGCCTTTTCCAACTACTCTCATTTTGCAATACCCTTGTATAAAACTATGGTGTGGCCTCACAGTCTGACATAATGCCAGATGCCAATCGTGTTAGACTGCAACCTGAGATTTTTGAGTTATTATCCTTTATAACATACTGAGTTATTATCCCTTATAATCTTTTGTGGCCAGGCAGAATAGCTACCCATAAAACTGGTTTTATTGCCCAAGATCTTACTTTTATTTCGGAGTATTCTTCTTCACGTGAAGATCCAATACTTTAAACCAGGGGCAACAAATCATGAAAAAAAATTATGGCAAGGATAACCTCTTAAGCACAGCTGAGTTGTGTTATCACCATCAGTTTTTCCTATTTAACAGGCGAAAGGACTAAACTATCACGTGTAAAGCAACATAGATTTACGTTATAGAACTCTGAAAGCCCAGAATGTCTGCAACTTTTCTCATTCTTGCCCACTAAACTGCACGTTCCAGAATCCCCATTCTGCCCACCTATTAAAAAGTGACGAAATATATTACTATTTTAAGTGCTGTGTGGAACCCCTGTTTCAATTCTACTCCCTGATAAATGCGGGAAAGGAGTCTTTCAACTATGTAATGACATCATTGTGACATGAGCAGAAACAGGAACATGCGACTCAACACCATACCAAGGTAAATGCCAAACCCAATAGATCCAGGCTCCAGACAGTAACCCAAACCACTCATCATTCAAAAGAGTGTCACCCCTTCCCCCACCTCCATTCACGATATCAGACCTCAGTGACACATTCATGCCCGTTTCTATTATTCCTACTAGACATGTTCTGTGACTCAGTGGAAAAAGAAGAGAAGAAGAGATTAGATATAAACCCTGCCCTTCACTCGGAGTCTCAGAGCGGCTTACAAACTCCTTTCCCTTCCCCTCCCCACAACAGACACCCTGTGAGGTAGGTGGGGCTGAGAGAGCTCTGACAGGAACTGCTCTTTCAAGGACAGCTCTGACAGAACTATGGCTTGCCCAAGGTCATCCAGCAGCTGCAAGTGGAGGAGTGGGCAATCAAACCCGGCTCTCCCAGATTCGAGTCCACGCACTTAACCACTACACCAAACTGGCTCTGCTTGGCATACGGAAGGCTCCAGGTTCAATCCCCTGCATCTCCAGTTAAAAGGACCGGGAAGCAGGTGATGTGAAAGACCCCTGCAGAACATCCTGGAGACCAACTGCCAATCTGAGCAGACAATATTGATGGAATGATGCCGTGTAAGGCAGCTTCACGTGTGGCTTCGTAGGCCACGGGCTTTCAAGCAAGAAACCTGTCTTATGAAGGCAATGCTCTGATCGACACGGATGGGAATTCCACCAGCCTCGTCCTCTACCACTAGTCTCAGAAGCTGAGTCCAGTGGCACCTTTAAGACCAACGAAGTGTAATTCTGCACACAAAAGCTTATCCAGGGGTCGTTTCGTAGAAAAAGAGCTAGGGGAACTCATTAGCATAACTCATTAGCATATGCCACACCCCCTGACATCACCGGAAAGGTGTCATAAGGCCACACCCCCTGACATCACT